CATGGCTCTCCTCGAGCCCTCTAGTTTCTCCATCTCTCTCCACAAAACACCAGCTATCACCATGGCAAAGATAAAATCCCTGAGACAGCTGAGTGTGAAAAGACGGGTCAGAACACACACAAAGCAGAGGAGGCTTCATTTCATTTCTCTGCATAATAAATACAATGATAGGGGAGCATTAAGAGACGTATCTCTCACTCTGTTTTTCTTTCTTTCTTCTGTCTCAAGAGTTGTTTTTGACCTCACAGACACACTGTGCATGTGTGAGTGTGCATCCATCGCTCTCAGCCCTCTGCTGTTACCACTAACTACTCCAGGCCACAGTAGTTCAGGTATTGATTTTTCTCCTTGTTCGTTCTGTCTTTCTGTCCCCTCCAAACCACTCCCCCGAGAGGGTGTGTGAGTGTGTGTGCTCTCACACATTTTATCTGTCTGTGGACCAATTTCAGTTTTAGAGTGTTTTCTGGTTCGATGCTAAAATGTACTTTCTTCTCACTGACTTTGTACAAAAACAATAAAGTTAATCTCAAGTACATTTATGCCAATAAGGACATTCACAGGTGTATAAATACAAATGTTTGTGAACGCACCCTTATGACTACTTTTGTTGTGTTATCACTGCTCCTTAATGTGGCCACTTTATTAGGTACACCATGCTGGTACAGGGTTGGACCCCCTTTTTAATTCTTGGTGTCACAGATTCAACAAGGTGCTGGAAACATTCCTCAGAGATGTTGGTCCATATTGACATGATGACATCACACAGTTGATCCATGATGAGAATCTCCCGTTCCAGCACATCCCAAAGGTGCTCTATTGGACTGAGATCTGGTGACTGTGGAGGCCATTGGAGTACAGTGAACTCATTGTCATGTTTGAGATGATGTGAGCTTTGTGACATGGTGCGTTATCCTGCTGGAAGTAGCCATCAGAAGATGGGTACACTGTGGTCATAAAGGGATGGACACGCTCAGCAACAATACTCAGGTAGGCTGTGGTGTTTAAACCATGCTCAGTTGGTACTAAGAAAATCTCCCCCACACCATTACACCACCAGCAGCAGCCTGAAGCGTTGATACAAGGCAGGATGGATCCATGCTTCCATCTGAATGTGGTTTTTCCAATCTTCTATTGTCCAGTTTTGGTGAATTGTAGCCTCAGTTTCCTGTTGTTAGCTGACAGGAGTGTCACCTGGTGTGGTCTTCTGCTGCTGTAGCCCATCTGCTTCAAGGTTGGACAAGGTGTTGTTGCTTCAGAGATGCTCTTCTGCACACCTTGGTTGGAACCAGTGCTTATTTGACTTCCTGTTGCCTTTCTATCATCTTGAACCAGTCTGGCCATTCTCCTCTGACCTCTGGCATCAACAAGGCATTTTGGCTCATTGGATATTTGCTCTTTTTGGGACCATCCTCTGTAAACCCTAGAGATGGTTGTGCTGAAAATCCCAGTAAATACTCAGAGCAGCCCGTCTGGCACCAACAACCATGCCACGTTCAAAGTCACTTAAACCACCTTTCTTCATCATTCTGTGCTCCGTTTGAACTTCAGCAGCTCGTCTTCACCATGTCTACATGACTAAATGCATTGAGTTGCTGCCACGTGATTGGCTGATTAGCTATTATTATTGTTAGGTTAAAATGGCACTGAGTGTTGGAGATGTTTTAGTGTTTATGAGACTGAGAGAGTTAGAGAGTAAAAGAGGGTGAGGAAAGGGGGAAGATAAAGTGTAGTAAAGACAAAGAAGAACATGGACGACACAGAGGTACCATCTTTGTGCTTCATGTCATCAGTGTTCAAGAAACTAAACTGTAATTGCACTAAATGTCCAGGAGATGGCGGCAGAGGGCTGGGTTAACGTCTCCTTATGCAGTGAAGGCCATTGTTATTATGTAGAACACAGAAAATATGCTTTAAATGCTTTAAGCCGGCATCCACTAGAAACTCCTCCCCCTCCTCCTCCTCCTCCTCCTCACCTACAAATCCCTCCATGGCTTTGCCCTCCACCCCTATATCCCGTCCCAATGCCACCAGTCCTCGGGCACTTGTCTACTCTCCACCCTGCTACGCCTGCCTGCAGTCACCTCACCCTCAGGAACTCTCCCCTGGCAGAGATTCACAAAGCCTGAACATTTACAAAAAACTGCTGTAAACCCCCTTATTCATGAAGAACTGTCTCCAGGGGCGTAGCACCAATTTCTGGCCCCTTAATCCAAAAACCTCGGTGTGATATTTGACAGTGATCTCTCCTTCTAAAAATCAGCCCTGTTTTATCCTCCTCACTAGTTCCCATACAGTTTCAGAATTGATTTTAAGACTTTACTGATCACTTTTAAAGCACTTAATGACTTACCCCAGCTTCACTGCTGAGATGCTGCTCCCCTATGAGCCAGGTCTCAGCCTCAGATCCTCAGACAGAGCTCTGTCGGCTGTTGCTCAGCTGTGGAGCTCTGTCTGAGGATCTGAGGCTGCTGGATCAGTGACGTCTTTTAAATCACCTCTTAAAACTTACCAGAAAAGCCTTTTATTAATTTTAGCACACATTTTATTTTATATGTGTCTTATTGATTCTTTATATTGTTATTGTCATCTATTATTTTATTTTTGTATTATTCTAATTGCTTGATTTGATATACGTCTTATCTGCATCAGTGATGGTATTTCATCTTTATTTTATTTTATTTTATTTTATTTTAATTTTTGTATTATTTGCTTGAATCTTGCATTTTTTTAAAATACGGGATCAACCATGTGAAGCTCCTTGAAACTTTGTTTTGAGAAGCCCTTAATAAAAAAAAGTTTATTACTATTATTATTATTACTAGTAGTAGTAATAGTAGTTATAGTAGTTATAGTATGTGGGCTGTCCTTATAAATAAATAAATGCCCTCCTCCTCAAATGCCTTTTATCTGACAGGATATTAGTGAAGGTAGCCTGTGTTTTATTTTGTTATGTCTTTAAACTTTTAATCCTGGTCATTAACTTCACGAGCTAAAACTAACATTAACTGAAAAAAAATTCCATAAACACCAAGGAGACAATTGCATGCTTTTCTTTTGCTCTTTTACTTTTAATTAGTTTTATTGAGTTATAAATAAAATATCCCCAACCCTGGCAAGAAAAAAATAAATAAATAAATAAATTGCATTCACCTGACAAATAAAAAAAAATCTGTTTTTCTGAGTTAAGAGAGCAATAGAACAACAGACGCTTTCATTCCTTTCTTGAGAGCTCGATATAATGGAAGCAAACATGAGCCGCTTGTTTAGTTTAATCCAGTTTTACTTTGTTTTGGGTTTGAGACACTGGGAGATCCTCTTGTCTTTAAGTCATATAGATGGTGTTATCATTAGTTTGTCGACTTTATGCAGTCACCTTAAGACTTTTCTGTTGTTCAGATGAAAAGCCTATTCAGATCTGCTGGACACTGCAGTGTTTCTCCAGAATCAGTTGGACACATATGGAGCACGGATGCAAAATACATCCATGAGCAGGAGTCACCATGGATGCAGGGGTCACTTGCAGGTGTCAGGTGGGAGCTTCCTGCGAGATTTTGAAGTATCTCATCTCCTGGTTCAGGAAAAAAAAAATACCACGAAAAACAGCAAATATTACTCAGAAAAACAGGGAAAAAATTACACCAAAAAACAGAAAAATAAATAAATTAGAAAAAATTTGTCTACACCAAAAAACAGGGCTTTTTTTATTTGTCAAGTGAATGCAATACGCTTCCGTACGTAATAAATAAAATAGATTAGTCAATAAATGCCCTCCTCATAGGCATTTTATCTGACAGGATATTAGGGAAGGTAGCCTGTATTTTATTCTATATTATGTCTTTAAACTTTGACTCCTTGTCACTGACTTCATTATTAAAACAGTTTTCATTAACACCAAAGAGAAAACTATGATTTTTAATTAACAGTATTTATTACAGTGCTCTGGAGCTGTTGGGTGCAGTACCTCTTGTGTCCTCTGGAGGTCAGTAAAGGGCGCGAGAACAAACTGTGCTGCAAATAAACGTAGAAGAAGAAGAAGGTTCAACGTCAGTGGAGGGAACTTTGCTTGTCGGATGTAAACATGACTTCAGTACAGTTCGTAACGTTTTGAGTTAATGTCGCGTATTTTCGACGTTATTTAACCGTCAAACTATTTCACCAGACAGAGCGAAAGGTTTGTATCAGCATACTGTCACTGCCACTGTGTTTAAACGGAACATTTAGCTAAACGACACCGATAACATTCACAGTTTAGCTAACTGACGTTAAACTCAATGTCAGACACCTGTCTGTGTGTGTGTCGACTGGAAAATTCAGCACCAGCTAGCTCACTATAACACGATTAATTGTAGTTTAATAAATATTGTTTGTTCCTAAAATGTTTAACTAGTTGTAGCAAAGATACCGAACAGACGTTAACGGTTACTCGGTTTGTTATTAGCTAAACTGTAACGGTTGAATTATGATTAAACGTTGGAAATTTACTTATATAAAATCCAGCTAAACAGATCATTTATGTGCCGAATTGTCAAGCGGTTCGTATTTGTTTAAGTTTCAATCTAAAGGGTTACATTCAGTAGTGTTAGGGTGGGCTGGCACTAAATTACAAGTTTTTTCAATGGGGTTCGGAGCGGTGATAATGTGAATGGTGATATGCGTACTGCTCTGTCATTTAACCAGTTCTCTTTTAATTAACAAAGACTTTTTTGTTAGTTTTATTTTGGTTTACATTCAGTACACCTGTGCTTGGCAAAGAGAAAACAAACTGCTGCTCTGTTCCTCCTTTTTTTAGTAAAGTAATGAGTGGAGAGGAGTCCAGGAGAGGCTCATGGAGGGGTGGAGGATGGAGAGGACGAGGAGGCGGCGGTGGTGGTGGATGGAGAGGAGGCTGGAGAGGAGGAGGTGGATGGAGAGGAGGTGGTGGAGGATGGAGAGGAGGAGGAGGAGGATGGAGGGGTAGACCATGGAGAGGAGGATCAGGAGGTGGAGGAGGAGGAGGAAGAGGTTCAGGAGGAGGAGGAGGGTGGAGAGGCGGAGGTGGTGGATCGGGAATCCAAACCTCCAGCAGCCAGAGAGGTGAGTTACATTTGTTTTTCCCATTTTACCTATTTAGTGACGTTGTGTTACAGCCTTCAGCCTTGGTCAGTGAAGGAAATGTGATGCTCAAGGTAACAGGTCAGCAGAAGGCCTAAAAGAGGCCTCGAAGTCAGGCCACTTGACCCTCGTTATGAACACACTCCATCTTTGTCTCCCAGTGGTGGAGGGAGCACAGCTGTCCAGATAAAGGTGCCTAGCTGGATCTGTTGCCATAGCTTCCAAGGTTAAGAGGAAGGTAGAGTGCCCTGTGCTCCAGGCTCAACACACAAGAATCTCTTTTTTGATGTGTGCATTTTGTGAGAGACAGTCGAGGTGATTTAGAGCGAGCACAAAACCATAGATCGGTACAGAATAACCTTGTTTGGGAACGTAGGAGTCTCGCAAGGGAGTACTGTTTGAGTTAAATGCAGGACACCCTCAGAATCTCTGGACGACACACACTGTGTTACAGTCTGTATGTTCAACTGAGATCTTCCTCAATCAAGTCTTCATTAAATACTGTGTGAAATCCATCACCATCTCCTGAGGTCTTCTTCAGATATTAGATTATAATCTGTGACATTTTCATCAACAGTAATCAGCTTTGGAGAAATTAGGAGAATGATTTATTATTGTATAAAAGATGAATACAGTTGTGTTATTTAATTATCTACTTTGTTTGCTGACAGCTTCTTTAACAGGGTGCTCGTGTCTGCTGCGTAATAAGAGAAGAGACACACATTCAGTTTCACATGAGCTGAAGACAAATGAGATATTAGTGTTTAATGTTCTTACAACACTTTATATCTAATGAGAATGAAATTGCCTGTCTTCCTCTGCAGTCCTTTCTCAGGCTACTCTCGATGTGATGTGTCCGTACAAAGGATGGGCTCTCTACTTCACAGACAGTACGTGTGTGTGTGTGTGTGTGTGTGTGTGTGTTTGGAGCTCTGTTTGACATATAATGGTTACCATAATGTGGCTTTTTCTCTGTGATACATGTGTCTTAACAAGTCTTCTCATGTGCAGGCTTCATTCAGAGCTCGCCGAGTGTGGAGAAGATCAAAGTGTTTGAGAAATATTTCACATCAAAGATTCAACTGTACGACAAGGTCAGTCTGTCTTTCTGTGCATCTTTCTGCTTAATTGTTTTGTCACTTCTCTGTGTAGACGATTTATCTAGCTGTAACATGTGAAGAAAAACTTTTACTTGTGAAAACGTTTCCACTTTTTGTCCTGATATCTAAATGTTTGCTCGGTCAGTTAAAAGGACAGTTGTTGTGTGTGTGCACAGGATGAGATTGAGCGTCAGGGCAGTGTCCTGGTGGATTATGCTGACTTGACTGGAGATAAAACCGTGCGTAAAGCTCTTCCTGATCTGACCACGCAGCTGAAGGAACAGCCGGAGGTGATACTCAACTGTTTGGGAGTGGCCATTCACCAGGTACACAGTCGCTGCTACAAACATATGTTTTCATCTGCAAGTTCCAGCCTTTCAGAACTTCTACATGCTGTGTATGTGCAGAGTTTATTAATAAAGGTGGAGTCGGTAATTGTGTAGAATGATATCTGAACTCAACACCCGAACAAATAACGCAATAATACTTTTATTGTCCCTTTTGTTTCCACTCTTTGTTTTCTCTCTTCAAATGTAAAAACTGGAGAACTGAAACTTGATCTTTGAAGAGGCGAAGAGTGAAAGTATTTGTGTGTTTTCAAGGTGTTGACTATAGATTTGGAGAAACAGGCCGCGGAGCTACAAGGGGAGGAGCTTCCTGTCGCTACACCCATCATCAACATCCCTCACATTAGCGCGAGGTAATATGCACAGAGAATCAGTTGTTTGCCTTTACGTACCACCCGTACACCTGCCGACCCTGAGTGAAGATGACTTTCTCTGCATAAATCATCCACAGGTTGTATAACTATGAACCGCTGACTGCCTTGCGGACATTGCGTGCCAGTGTGTTTGGACGACTGGTGTGTGTGAGGGGAACGGTGGTCAGAGTGAGCAACATTAGACCTCTGTGCACCAGGATGGCCTTCAGGTGTCTGGGCTGCTCGCACACTCAGTCTCTGCCACTGCAGCATGGGAAGTACGCCACACCTACCAAGGTATGCACACCAGGAGTGAGGGGAGAAATCGACACAGCGTAGAATCGCGATAGTTTTGTGTGGTAGTATCGTATCGTCACACAGTGCCAAGTCTTGTTTTTTTAAAAAAATTATATAGATTATTAATATGACAATACAAATTGAACTTTAGGTAGCCCACTAGAATAATACAATCAGTTGCTTTTTCAGTTTTCTGCTGTAAAAAATGGCTGAAGACAAACTGTCTAAAAACTTTATCTTATTATATAAAACATGTTGACAATGTTTTGGTGATATAATTTACAGTTGAAAAAAGGTAATAAATCACAATATATTTTATTACAATACTCAGGATATTGCAACATATTTCAAATTGCGATAATATTGTACAGAGGACGGCTATAGGCACTCCAAAAATATAGAAAACAAGGAAGTAAGTATTAAAAATCTTTTATTGTAGCGGCTAAATCATGTTTCGACCACTGCAGGTCTTCGTCAGGGCTTTAAAAACATACAACAAAGCTATGGTCACACCTGTATAGTAGCAGGAACCATCACAGGACCCAGATAATGACATAATAATCATAATTCTGTGATACCATATTTTCTGAGATGGTTATCACATTGTGAAGATGTCATACAGTTGCAACCCTACACATAACCCTCTTTGACACCATGACTTATATTTACAGATTCATTTTCCCTCCTAATATGTGTGTATCTATGTTTCTGTCCCTCAGTGTATCCAGCCCAGCTGTCGCAGTCGCTCCTTCACCCCCAGCCGCAGCTCCCCTCTTACTCACACTGTAGACTGGCAGATCATCAAGTAAGTCTGTTGTGAGCCTATGCAGATGTTGAGTTTTCTGGATGTTAGTAAGAGGAGGCGCCGTTTCAATTTAGGACAGTTGCTTACATGCAAAAAGCAAAAAGCAAAACAGAGAAAATAAATTTATATTCTTGGGTTCTCTGGTCTGAAAGAGTGAGTAAGGAGTTACGTGTCTGACTTGCACAAGGCTTGGGTGATATGGTGAGATTTTTGTTCAACACCACGATCCATGTTAACAGGAACATGTATTCAGTTATGCTGCAGGGGAATTTTAACATCACCCAACCCTCGTACTTTATCACAAGTGTCGCGAAATATTGTGGCAGGTTGTCTCTACTAGAAAGTGGAATATAGTGAGTAAGTTCCGGTTTTTTTCTAAGATCATATTCCAATGCAAAACAACAGCACATCTCAGACTCTGAATCATCATTTACATGCTTCACTTGTTTTTTTCAGGGTGCAGGAGTTGATGGGCGGCGAGCAGAGGGAGACCGGACGAATCCCACGCACCGTAGAGTGTCACCTGACCTCTGACCTCTGTGACAGCTGCGTCCCTGGAGACACGGTTACAGTGACGGGGATAGTTAGAGTCACCAACGATGGTACAAACACACAGAAACACACACACTCTAACCAGGGTGGGAGGTTAGGTTTGAAGGAAGCTTTTGTGTACAGAATAAAATATAAACCTGTGTTTGAGTACAAAAATTCTGGAGGAAGGAACAAAAAGTGCTCTCACAAACACACAAGTCCCAGTGACTACAAACAAAGCACTCTTATTATCTGTATTATGCAGGTATCTCCCGAGGGAACAAGGATCAGTGTATGTTCCTCCTCTACCTTGAAGCCACTTCAGTCAGCAACACTAAAGGTACAGACTCTGTGTGTTGGAACCTGAGTTATGTGGAGCAGTTATGTAACGTAACACAGCAATGAGGTGTTATTTCTTCTTCATGTGTAGGTCAGCAGTCCAAGTCAGGTCAGGGGTCGCTGGAAGATCGTGCTGGAGGGGAGGAGTTCAGTCTGAAGGAGCTGTACGCCATCCAGGAGATCCAGTCACAGCCTGACCTGCTGAGACTCATAGTGCAGTAAGATATTTGTTACCTACAGTATCACATGTTTGTTTTGAAAAGTTACTGCATTTTCTTTAATGTCAACTTTTGATACTGTGTTAGACACGACAGAGTTTGAACATCATGAGTGATGGTATGATTTCAAAAAAATTTTTTTTTTTTTTCATGGCAGAAAATATCATACAGGTTGTGTAAACACAGCTGATGTCTGATTTAGTGTACTTTCATGCTTTTTCTTCACGACAAGGCAAGGAAAGGTTATTTATAAAGCACATTTCAGCAGCAAAGAAGTTCAAAGTGCTCCACATAAAACATCAAAAGCGTCAAGACAAGATGCAAAAGAAGCACATTATAAAAGGACATTTATAAATAATTCATTAAAAAACTAGAGAAGAGAAAATAAAAAAGTTAAAATACAGTAATAATACATTTCATTTAAAAAGCACCTTTAAAACCCGGGGTCGCCTTACAGAGCGTAAAATAACATACAGAACAAGAGACGTGAATTGGGCAGACACATATTGTTGCTGTGATAAAAGGCAGGTGGCAGAGGGTGCAGTCGGTGTCAGAGTGCATACGCCACTTTGAACAGGTGGGCTCTGAGGTGGGGTTAAAAGGTTGTTATGCTATCAGACTGTCGAATGTGTCGGGTGAGATGTGAGGTGGGAATGGTCAGGAGACCAGCAGAGGAAGAGCACGGGGAGCAGGAAGGGGTGTACTCTTGGGGAAGGTCAGAGAGATGAGTGGGGGCTGGGTTGTGGAGGGCTGTGAAGGTGAGCAGAAGGTTTTTGTCGTCAATTTAGCCCCTTTTCCACCGAGTAGTCTGGTTCCGTTCAGTTCAGTTCAGTACGCATTGTTTCCGTTTCCACAGTGAAAAGTTGTGGATGGTACCAACAGAAGCGTTCCTTAGCGTCCCCATGTTTGGTCACTGGTTTTATGTAACCTCTGTTCATACATCAGTAAACTACAACTATAAAATGAAAGAGAAAAAAATAACTTCATTCACTGGGCCGACTGCCGGCAACTTTTAAGGTGGAACGTTAACTTGTAATGTTACTCAATGCATGAGTTGATGACGTGAATCCATCAGCACACCTTAAATTTCACTGTGACAACTTTGACCATCACTTTAGTTTTTATATGACACACACTTTTAGTAATGACTTTAAAAATATAGATGAATTTGGAGCGGATTATGTGAAGGTCATATATTCTAATCCTCACTTCCTGTGGGCTACAGCAACACTAAACCCCTGAGCTTGCCTGAGAAGGACTAAATGCACAAAGCTGCTATTTTTAAATATCCCATGGAGAGAGACTCTCACTGCAGCCTGTTCTATTTTGTTGTGAAAATGTGGGCGTGCAGCCTCGTTCTGTGGACGATAAACCAGGTGCAGACTTCCATCTGTGTCACCGCTGATGAGGAAATACAGCGAGTGCTGGACGGAGCAGTGAGTGACAACAACCCCGACCCACATTTAAGAGGACTGTCTGAACAGACTGAGGGTCTAGGTACCATGTCTGAAGGCTTACTGCTGGTTCCACAGGTACTGGACTGAAAGGGTTTGGTGGAGATGGGGCTCTTGGCATCGAACAGGGAGCAGGTGTAGTTGAATAAGAATGGGGGTGATGTGGTCAGATGATTTGGTGCGGGTAATGATCCGGGCAGCAGAGTTTTGAATGATTTGAAGCCTGTTAAGTTGAGTTTGGTGGGAAGGCCAGAGTGTTCTGTTTTTTTACGTGGGATTCAAATGAAAGAGTGTTTTCCAGAATGGCACCAAGGCTCTTGACATGACTGGAGGAGGTACAGGGAAGTTATGATGTGTGGGACTTGTGTTTTGGACTTTGGACAGGGTGTTTTTGGAACCCATGAGCAGGGCCTCAGTTTTGCTGCTTTAAAAGGTTCCAGTTCATCCAACTCCTGATGTCCTCAAGGCAGGTGGTACTGAGACAGACATAAAATACAAGAATAACGTTACAGTGCAGTTAAACTCTATAAAAGTATTTGAATAATAAAGGTTACATTGCAGTGTAGGAAATGAATAAAAAATTGGTCAAATAAAAGGCAGCAGCAAACAGATAAGGGTTCAATCTTGATTTAAAAGAAGTGAGAGTTGGTGCAGAGCTGCAGTTTTCTGGGAGTTTGTTCCAGATATGTGGAGCATAAAAACTAAACACTGCTTTTCCATGTTGAGTCTCGACTTTGGGAACAGCTGAAACAAAATGATTCCTCCATGAGTTGTGCAGCTAAACCCAGCTGAGGTACAACTGGAGCTGAAACAAAATACAGCTCAGAAAATTGAGCCAAGTCTGACAGTGTAGAGCCGAGCCTACAAACTAAATCTGTCCCAAAAATGTGTAGATGATCAAACCTTTGATGTAGCTAACAAACCTCAGGCCCAGCTCGTGGTAAAGATCTTGGATTTTGTTTTGTGGTTTTTCATTCATCCAGCAGCTTTGTTTGGTGTTATGTAATAAGCATTACAGCTTCACAGGGCTGCTGCTGTGGGCGTAGACTGGTCGTCCTCTTTAGTCCTGTGCTGTTACCTTACACTGAGATATATAACACTCTGATCTTCTTTTCTTCATCAGGTCTTTGTGTCCTGCCATCTACGGCCACCTGGTGAGTTGTGTGATGCACTGTCCTTTGAACCAACAGCATTTTCTTTTTTTTCTTGAATTTCATTTTCATTAGGAAGATCACACATAGTCCAGGAAAATACATAATGATACAACCATCGCTCAGATAATTGCACCAAGCCATGTCTCAACAAAGCTTTTCCTCCATCTATTTCTCTCCCTTTTTATTTTACCTTTAAACAACTATGAACATCTGAACAAAAGATGTCACACTCACTCATTTATCCATAAAGATGGACACACAACACTATCTCCTTTGTAGTCCAGTAGCGATGGTAACTTAGCAAGGTAATTAAAGCAAGTCTGGTCTCTGCAAGCTAATGTATCTGACCCATTTTGACCACAATCCCTTAAATTTCTCTGACTGCATTTTTATAGAAAATATCAGTTTCTCCATGACGTTAATTTCATGAAAATTTTTTAACCAGTCTGCCAATGTTGGATCATCTGGTAGCTTTCTTCCCTTCGATAAGTAATATTCTCATTAAGTATGTGTCTGCTGTAGATTGAATATTCAGTGCCCAAAAATAGTCAGGAAATCAAATGGAGTAGAGATTTGAAATACAGTTTCCAAACACTCAGTACGTTCACATGACATTAGAGAAAATCGATTTATTGTGTCAGTCCGACTAAAACTGGACTTTTAAATTCCGTGTAAACATGTTAGTCCAACTGAAATTGTACTAACTCAAATTTCTGTTCATCTTCAGATATAACCATTCCTCCTTCTCTTTCCTGTTTACTTTAACATACTGGCTATTTGAATTCAAAGAACCAACAGCATTTTAGTAATAATAATAATAATAATAATAATGATAATGCATCAGATTTATACCATGAGATAAGAGGGGGGCAAGGTTATTGAGGGCTTTGTAGGTGATGAGGAGGAGTGTGTACTGGATGCGGTATTGGACAGGGAGCCAATGAAGCTGTTTGAGGACAGGGGTGATGTGGTCCCTGGAGGGGGTGCGTGTGAGTAACCGGGCAGCAGAGTTCTGTAGAGGCTGGTAGAGGGAAGACCATAGAGAATGCTATTACAGTAGTCGAGTCTGGAGGTTATAAAGGTGTGGATGAGTATTTCTGCAGTGGAGTGGGTGAGGGAGGTGCGGAGACGGGCAATGTTGCGGAGATGGAAGAATGATGTCCTGGTGATGTTGCTGGTATGGGGTTTGAAGGACAGCGTGGGGTCAATTATGATCCCGAGGTTCCGTACTGAGAGGGAGGAAGTGACATTGTGACCGTCGATGTGGAGGGAGAAGTCCTGAGGGGAGAGTGGGGTCCAGTCATGATGAATTCTGGTTTATTGCTGTTTAGTTTCAGGAAGTTGTTGTCCATCCAGGATTTTATGTCAGTCAGGCAGTTTGTGATGTTGGAAAGAATGACTGGAGGGATGGATTTGGTGGAGCTGTATAGCAGGGTGTCGTCGGCGTAAAAGTGGAAGTGTAGTCCGTGGTGGCGTATGATATTTCCAAGGGGTAACATGTAGAGGATGAAGAAGAGGGGGGCCAAGCACTGAGCCTTGAGGGACATCATGGGTGACTGGGGTGATGTGGGACTTGCAGTTGTTGACAGACATGTAGTGCTGACTATCGGAAAGGTGGGAGGTGAACCAGGTGAGTGGTGAGCCAGTGATTCCAAGAGATGACTGTAGACGGTTGATTAGGATGGAATGATCAATGCTATTGAAAGCGGCGCTGAGGTCGAGGAGGAGGAGGAGGATAGTGAGGGAACCAGAGTCCAAGGCAAGGAGGAGGTCATTGCTGACTTTTTCATTACAGGCTGCAAAGGAATACGACAGTTTCATTCACACTTGTCAAACAGGGCTTTTTCGGTCCTCCCTATTTGTCGAGTTCAGTTTATCATCATGTGTTCTTCTGTTTCCCAAGCTGGTGAAAGCTGCTCTGGCCTTGGCACTTTTTGGAGGCCGACAGAAACACACGGGCAAGAACAGCGTCCCAGTCAGAGGAGACTCACACATCCTGATGGTGGGAGACCCTGGACTGGGAAAGAGTCAGATGTTACAGGTAACACAGAAAACGTCTGGCAGAGAGTAGGAAAAACACATCTCGTTACTCTTTAACTGAGGTTGTAATGTGTGTGTTTACGTTCTGAAGCTGAGATATGTTTGTGTTAGGACCAGTGTGAGTGTGTTCATATAAAAGTACACTTATTTAATATTCATGTGCACTCTGTGTGCAGGCTGTGTGCAATGTGGCTCCCAGAGGAATCTATGTGTGCGGCAACAGCACGAGCACCACAGGTAAACTGTCTCCCTAAATTATGTTATACACGCAGCTGGTTATTACAGTTTCTGGGATGTTGCAACATAATCAATTTGGTGGTTTAATATTTAATGTTTTGTTATTTTTTAGGACTAACAGTGACTTTATCCCGAGACTCAGGAACAGGTGATTTCGCTCTGGAGGCCGGAGCCTTGGTGCTCGCTGACCAAGGTAGGAAACACTAGTTTAATAAGTGTGTTCATGCCTGTGTTGTGGATACATAATGTATAAGGAGTTATTACGGTAGTGTATTTATTTGAAGTCGTTGCCCAACTCTGAAAGAAAAAGTGCACAATAATAAATGCACTTTTGACAGTTGATGTAAAATACTTGCTTTTATGTGCTGCATCTTTTAAAAAATGCTTCCTCTTGGATCGACCCGTAGCTCACCTGGTCCCTACAAAGCCCATAAAAGTAATCTTTAAAAAACAGTCCTCTTCTTTCACCCACTGCTGCACTCTCTTGGTTCCTCACGTTTTGATAAGGCCCAAATTGTCAGACAAACTTCTAAACTCACAGATGTATTCAAAAAAACCTAGGGCGCCCAGTGGCTCAGTGGGTCAAGCAGGCGCCACATGTATAAAGGCTGTGTCCTTGCTGCAGCGGCCTGCGGTACTCTTTGCTCCATGTCGTCCCCTCTCTCTCCTCCCCCTTCATGCTTAGTATTTATCCAAACAATTAAAGGCGACAGCCCAAAACAATAATCTTAACAAAAAAAAAAAAAAAACAGTAGGGATGGGTATCGTTAAGATTGTAACGTTACTACTGCTCTTATCAATACTGCTAAGTGATTCGGTACTCTAACGGTACACTTATGGGTTCTTTTTGGGGGGTTGAAATAAAATAAGAACAGAGTTAACATTGCTTTATTTTGTTTATGTTTGTGAGAACAGTATATGAATGAATATCTGCATATCTGTTTTGAATTCAATTTCAGTTTTCAATTTTATTTATAAAGCCCAATATCACAAATCACAGTTTTCCTCAGAGGCTTTACAGCATACAACATCCCTCTGTCTTCGGACTCTCAGAGCTGATAAAGAAAAACTCCCAAATAGAAACCCTTTAACATGGAAAAATGGTAGAAACCTCAGAAACCTGAATAAATTACTATTAAACATTTTAACATACAAGCTAGGCCGTCGAAAATGGTGCATTTCTCGGTCTGTGTGTGAGATACAAAAATTGAAAGAAATATATAATAAAAAGATTAACAGCGTCCGAAAAGAAGTAGGTAGAAGTAAAACTTAATGTCCCTACACCTTTCTTACATTTCTTCTTTTAACTCATTATTTCAACAAATTCCCAAATTTATTTACAACTAATACACAACTATCCCCAGTCTCTGTTTACCACCTAATTTAATAATAAAGTACCAAGTACCACCCAGTGTTACAGAATAAATACACACTCCCCTAACACAACCCTTCCTCATCTATATATCTGCCAACAATATCTTAAATAAATTGAATGGTATTTGTGCTTTGTTTCAACTCATCACGCAGCTTGTTCCACACGTCCACTTCGAACACTGACATACACTGAAATACACTGACTCTGATGTTTTGTAAAGATTGCTCATATGTGTTTCTGCCCTCACATACACAAGAGTTGTTGAACTCGTGGCAACGAGCAGTGTTGGCATCACCAAACTTTGAGCATCTTGCTCTCTGTCACTGAGAGCAGGGCCTCTGTGTGAGCTGGCCGCGCCCCTCGCATATGCGGCAGGCTGTGAGGCTCCAACACAGAGAGCTCGAGAGCAAAAATGCATCAGTGACGAATGTCTTAATCTTGTTGCAAATTAGAAACAGAATTAGGGAGATAAAAACAGTACAAGATAACGTTTATGTAACCTAAACAAACAAGAAGTATATCTTCTGATAACAGAACTGTCTGAGCTTATTAATACTATGGCCTCTGATAATTTGGCCCCGGGGCCAGACTTGGAGATCTATGCTGTCCACACAGCGTCAGCTCCCACTGCCTGTTGTCCTCTCTTTATTCTCTTCAGGCCTGTGCTGCATTGATGAGTTTGATAAGCTGGGCAGCCAGCAGCAGGCCCTGCTTGAAGCCATGGAGCAGCAGTCTGTGAGTCTGGCTAAGGCTGGAATAGTTTCCTCTCTGCCTGCCAGAGCATCAGTCATCGCTGCTGCGAACCCCATCGGAGGACATTACAACAGAGGAAAGACCGTCTCTGAGAATCTCAAGTAAGTTCAGTCGGTGGTTTTCAGAGGCTGCAGGAGGATATGACTGTACATCTGTATTTACAGTGGTACACGCTTGTCTTTAGGATGGGCTCAGCTCTTCTCTCTCGATTCGACATTGTCTTCCTCCTCCTGGACATCCCAGATGAGTCACACGACCGCCACCTGTCTGAACACGTCATGGCGAACAGGGCAGGGAAAGGCCGAACCAGCAGCGCCATAGTAAGCAGGGCTAACAGTGACTTAGAGACCTCCATCCTGCTGGAACACTCAGACATGCCGCTGTCTGAACGTTTGCAGGTAAAAATAAACAGACCACATTTAAGGAGTAAAGTGACATCTGTAAGAAAAATCATTCACATTTATGCAGCATGTGTGTGTGTCTGTGTCAAGATCCCTGCAGGTGAAACCGTAGACCCCATCCCAGTGTCTTTGTTGAGGAAGTACATCAGCTACGCTCGTCAGTATGTCTATCCCTCACTCTCTCCCGAGGCAGCACAGATGATTCAGGCATTCTACCTTTCCCTGAGATCTCAGGCTCACTCTGCTGACTCCACCCCCATCACCACACGACAGCTGGAGTCTTTAATCAGACTCACTGAGGTAGGTTTCTGTATGTTGGGTGTAAAGAGTGACTTCACCCAGTGATGGATAAAGACACATGACCTGAGTCACAACATAATGCCATAATGTGAAACTCATGTTTAAATGAGGAATATGGCTCATCCACCCGACTGGGTTAAGTTCTACTTCAAGCTTTGGCTGAGATATGGTGAAACTTTGCTGTCATTGAGTGATGTTGTGATAGGTATGTGTACTGTAGGCCGACAGAGGGATTTGTTTTTAAGGATTCTCTGTCAAAATCAGCAGGGAGGGGCGTGTAGAAACAGCTGTTTCCCAGCGGAGTTTGGACAGTTGTGGAGTTTAACAAAAGTTCAATTCAAAAAGTGCAGGAGCCTTTTTGACGGGGGGCGAGCAAGTCTAACTGTGCTGTGTGTTGATTAATCCATGGTGCTGTCTGGCTGCATGTGGAGCTGAAGTAGAGTCCCTCCAACAAGAAACTTTGCATGTTATTACCTGATACTGATCTCTTTTTTTCTGGTGTGGCAGTTGTATGCTTCTCTTATTTTTCCACCAGTGTCCCAGCACTTCTGTGGTTACCTGTGTGTTTCTGTGCAGGCACGAGCCAGATTGGAGCTCAGAGAGACGGCAACCAAAGGTGATGCTGAAGATGTGGTGGAGATCATGAAACACAGGTGACACTACAGGAGTCTTTGTGTGTGTTCAGGCTGCAGCCAAGAAAATAGAGAAAATGAACTCATCACAGTTCCTTAAACCCCAAGATGATGTTGTCAAACAGCGTGTCTTGTCTTAACAACTCTCCATAAAATTAAAGATATTCAGTGTACTGTCACACAAGACAAAGAAAGGTAGTAAAAGCTTCTCATATCAAACGCTAAAAGCAAGAAATTCTTGGTATTTTTACTTAAAAAAGGCCCAAATTATTAATTGATTATCAAAATATCAGGCTGTTATTTTCCTGTCAGTTATGATTTCCTCTCTCCTTCTGTGTGTGTGTGTGTGTGTGTGTGTGTGTGTGTGTGTGTGTGTTTTTGTTTTGCAGTCTGGCTGATACATACTCAGATGGTCTGGGCAATCTGGACTTTGAGCGCTCTCAGCTGGGATCAGGCATGAGTCAGCGCAGCGCTGCAAAACGACTGGTCAACGCCCTGCACGCTCACGCTCAGAGGACCAACCAGAAGCAGTTTGACCTGCAAACACTTCGATCTGTGGCCGACAGATTGAACATCAGGGTAAAAACTGATACACGTGTACTTGATAAAAACAATCAAGGGCCCCAGTTCAGCTGTAACAGTGACAGTGCTGTTCACTACTTAACATAACAGATGTGTAACAGAAAGGTGAGATTTCTAAAAGTTAAAATATGTCTTCTCAGTATTGTTCTCAGCAATTAACACCATGAGTCAGTGTTTAATCCATGCAGTAAAACCTGATGTTACACGAACAACACTAGCATTCTGTGTGTCGAAGTTCTGTCAGGTTTCAGCCCCAATGCCTCAGTGTGAAACATAAATCAAGTCAGTTGATTCAACCAGTGAATCCATGTTTTAAATAACATAAATCACTTAATATCCGTCCTTAAAAACCGTCTCACAAATTAAACTACATGAATGAATGAATCTATGAGGATCGCTCCTGCTGCTTGTGCACTACATACGTACATAACGTGCCGTTGGTCGTACAAAGTCGTTATTTCGTCGTTGGCCCACTGCTGCCCTCATTTGTGCTTCTTAAGTTACATAATTCAAAAATGCCAACAAAAGACTGTTAATTTACAGCTTTACACTGTGTGTGTGTTGTGTGATGTATTCAGTCACTGATTGGTTCCTTCCAGGTGATGGATTTCGAAGGTCTGGTGAGTTCCCTGAACGAACAGGGTTTCCTGCTGAAGAAAGGAGCCAAGCTGTACCAGCTGCAAACTGTCTGATCACTGACAGCCGCAACAAACCTGCTCCTTCCTGCAGACCTCACCACAAGGTCAGTGTTCAGGATAACTGCACAGGGTAGGACAGGATAGAGAGGAGGGAAAAAACTCAGCGGGGAACCGCTTATCAAGACCACTTTCACCAAACCACCAACCAGCAGACAACTGTGTAACCGTTTGAAGAGACTGTACTGAGACTGCAGGATCGTACAGCCGCCACAGTTTCCTGCATGAACACACACTTCCTGCTGAAAAGAGGAACTGACTCTGCATTTATATACACACAAAGCTTCAAACTAAACATGGTGTTCTTTATCCTGACTGTAATTTGGCTGTGCTTTCACCAGCTAATTGGGACTTCAGTGTTTACTCAAGACTACTGGAAATGTTATTTAGTGCCCTGTCTCTTCAAGGATGTGATGTGATGTGTCACAGATATAGTTAAGAGACTTTTCACATATTTAAAACCCTAAAATGGCAAGGTAAGGATTGTCCAACTGCCTGGGGCAAGAAAAATGGCACTTCTAGCTCATAAATATAGTAACTCACCTGCCCTATCAGGTAAGTGGTAACAAATAGTTGCTCATGTGTCAATTGCGAGAAGTTAAAGACAAGGGTAAAGACAAAGTTTATGTGCAGAAGAGCAAGCAAGCATTTTGGTTACCCTGGAAACAGGAGTTTAATTGGATGAGGATGACACTGTATTGTGCAGTTTGCCGCAAGTTTGAGAGCAAGGCCAATAAAAAGGGATTCTTTTTTCAAAGGCACGTCAAGTTTCCGAAAAAACGTTGCTGGTGTGCAACAACAAGAGCCAACAGCATCTCACTTACACGGCAGCTAAGAGGGCCTCTGACAAATCAAACGATATGTATAGAGCAGTGGTAGGCAACCTGCAACTCTAGAGCCATATGCGACTAAAATGTGCATCATACGTTTACGGCCTGGTGCCTTTCCCTCTACCTTTTGCCAACCTCAGTAGCAGTGGCTCGTCTTTAGCCCCCTAGCTTGGCTAGCTATGGCTGCAAGTCCATAAAACTCTCAGAGGAATATACAGAATTTAAAAGTGCGTAGACAGATTATTTTGCTTTCACTGCCAATGCTGCAAAAGTAAGGTACCAAATTATCATAAATATCCCACTGCAGAGGAGCCATCCTGTGGTGAAACATATCTTTGAATGCTTGTTTAAACCTATTTCTAATATCGACAGGCTAATTTAGACTTAATATGCAGTGCTACCATAAGGCTCAAATATGTTTTGCAGCTCCAGGCAGATTTCTTTTAAATTACTTTTGGTCAAAAACGGCTCTGTTGATGATTAAGGTTTCTGACCACTGGTATAGGCAAAAAGCAAAAGCAAAGCAAAAACTGACTTCAGGCAAGTAGAGTTTCTGACCCACAAACCAGCAAGTGAAGAAAGGCATTAACGGTGAACCCTGCAGGTACACTTTGCTTTTAATGTACATGTATTTTTACAGCACATGGTGACGTTCAAATAGCAGCTGTATCTAAATTTTGTTTCTGTTATATTTTAAAGGACAGTCGGTCTTTGGCAGTGCGCTGAACTTCAGAGAAGTGCTGATATATTAGATAAATTCTACGTATGTGGTTTCACTGTCTGACTGCTGAGTTGATTTATACTTTTTGTTCTTTACACAGGTGACTTTGTTCCATAGAGACTTTTCTGAATACATTTAAAATGTACTATATTTTATGTTCTTTTTATGTAAATAAATGACATGTATATTTATGTATATATTTCTGTTATCATTTGAACAGTTGCTTCCTTTTGCTGCCATTTTATTGTTAACATAATTTTCAATGTTCTAACATACTGACTTTGGGATTGACATCAAGGGTCTCGTGTGTGTCGGTCTGTAATATGTTGATCCAAAAAGTTCTCATTTTGTCTCAAACGTTCTGGACTGTCGACTGTGTCTGGGTTCTTTTTGTATGATGTGCTCTTTATTATTAAACATTCACTTTATACATTATTTTATTTCCCTTTAAATCTCAGCATTTTGTTTTTCACATTAATAAGAATGGGTTTGCACATGGATAAAACATGCTTTAACTTCAAATTAAAACAGTACATTTATATTTGTGTTTTATTTACAGCAAACTAAACTGATGATGCTGTCGTTTTTACAGACTTTACTCTGATGATAATAATAATAATAATAATAATATTAAACTTTATTAATATTGCTCTTTTCAAAACCTAATTTACAAAGTACTTTACAGACATGAAAACAAAATATAAAGTGCAATTATAAGACTGGAGTAAGTTCAATTTAGCTAAAAACGGAAATGAAATAAAAAATAATATAAAAATAATAAAGATTTGATTAAAAAATATATATACAAATTTGAGTATAAGCAAATTAATCACAGCATAAAACAAACAAAGACACAACATATGTCTTGCTGATATAAAATAAATAACTCGTCTCAATCACAATTTCTTTTCAAAATAAAAGCTGTTACCGGAAGTGTCATTCTCTGTTTTACGACACCGAGTGCGGTGTCAGTTTACGGCAACATGGCAGCGTGCTGGCAGGAGCAGAAACTCCGTCGGCTCTGACCGTCAGAGTCTGAACCTTCACCATGACCACGGGGACGGACCGCACGAGGCCAGCCGGTCGGTAACGGGAGGGCTCGTGAAGATGATGACGATGTGTTTTAGGAGGATTTCCGCGCCGCTGTGCCGCAACGCAGCGACCGCCCGCTCCCTGCTGTCAGCGCGGTGCGCGGGTGTGTGTCGGCTCGAGCCTGCGTCATGGCGGAACTCACCTGTCACCCAGTGCGCGAGGGTGAGACCGTCCCCGGTTAACGGCGCGTGGCTCCTCACTGTCAGGAGGGCGGACAGCCGCGTGGCGTGCTGGAGTGGCATCCTCCAGCAGGTAAAGGCGACGTCCTGGCACGCGCAAGGAGCCGTGGTTTTACACCAGGGAGGTCACGAGAGGTCGGCGGCCAGTTTCCGGTCTCTGCTGTCACCCACAGCTCGGGGGCTGTGCAGCGGGAAGACCGAGGAGACACCTGGTGCCCCCGCGGGGACGGACCGGGAGGAGGCCAGCTCGGTACCGGGACACGGACTCTTCAAGTTCAAGGAGCTGGTGAGTGAGTGACTGTAGGAGTGTGACGTCACAGCAGGTGGTGGGTGGTGTGAACACATGAAAACAAACTAACAGTGATAGAAGTCTTCTTAACAGTGTTAAACCACTAATAATGTTACAGGTGCAGGCTTTGTAAATAAAATTATATATTCTCTGCACGGTGCGTTCAGTGTCCTGACATAGACATACATTAATGTCTTATAGCTTGTCACAGGTTTGTTAATACTGGTGCATAAAGTATAATTAGCTTGTCGGTACAGCTGGAAAGATTTATCTGTATTAGTGCATTTATAGGTCAAATCTGAAGTGTTTACAGGCCCTGAAAAACAAAGACAAGAATGTCTATATAGATTTTGTTCCTTCAGCGTTCTTCATTCAGGAGCTTTTTACCAGCAGCTGAATTATCAGCACATGTCTCTTCCTCTCCAAAACAAACTCACCTGGTGATTTAAACCGGTAAAAACGGTGAAGGAAGAAATTTCATGTTACAAATCAGTGTTTCTCCAACACTGTTTGGCATGTCGGAGACAGCTGCTGCACCTTTTCTCTCTGATAACTTAAGATCTACTTTCAGGAGGTTTTCACAGGGAGCCCAGTTCTCCACAGAGGTCTCTTCCTCTCTGCAACCAACGGACTACGGGTCTCATTTATTAACATTGTGTACGCACTAAACAAGGACTGAAAGAAGCGTACGCCACTTCCCACGCAAAAGTTATGATCTATAAAAATAGACTTGATGGGAGAAACTTTGACCCACGCTTACGTACTGTTTTATAAATGAGACCCCAGATGTTCAGGAGGGCTTTACTGGGAGCCAAGTTATCCACAGAGGTCTCTTCCTCTCTGCAACAAACAGACCAGCTGATTTAAATCAGTAAAAACATTGAATAAAGCAGTCTCGCGTTAAAAAATCTGTTAGTCCGACATCCTCGTTACGGTGTGGCTGCTAACTACAGTGGCTGAAGTGAAAACACGAAAATGCGAATAGTCTACCTGCTCCCTGTGTAGATATAAACGGTTCTTGCCGAGGTTACGGAAACACAACAGTTGTTGTTTCCAGATGATTATACACTAAAGAAAACATTTCTACCAGTGTATCCCTCTAAATCCTACACACTGGACCTTTAAAGGAATATTTCACACACAAATTAACCATCTGTTAATCAAGTAGTCTGTGTTACCTTGAGTTTGTGAAGACAACTTTGTTTTGTTTTCTCCACAGAAAACAGCGAACATATTGATTAATTGGGGACCATTTCTAACAGCAGCAAAACTATTTCATACCATCCGTACACAAACAATTTATCCAATTTATTATTTTCACTATGACCTTACTGTTTAAATTAGAAATGAACCACTCTCTTGAAAGTTACGTGATGTATCTGACTGAGATTTATTACAGTTTTAGAAATGTTGCTGAAGTAACTTTAGCCTGATCTACCTGTTGCACGTCTCTGACTTGTTAACCCTCTGTTGATCTGCGGAGTAACGTGTATCTGATTTGTTTTCCTGCAGTATGAGAACCCGTGGACCATCCCCAACTTCTTGTGTGTGTGTCGCATTTTGCTGGCTCCGTTCCTGGGTTATCTGATCATCCAGCAGCACTTTCACCTCAGCCTCGCTCTGTTCACTCTGGCTGGAGCCACTGACCTGGTAATATAGATACAGACACTTTGACTAAAACACAGACACACACACACACTGTAGCTCAGTCTATTTTAGATTATTATCAGCATGAGCTTCAGTGCAGTCGCTGATATTAAAACTTGCAGGTTGCTGCATTTGCTTCTTTAGCTTTTATAAAGCATCTGTTACAATATTCTCTCTCTCACTCAGTTGGACGGTTACATCGCCAGGACGTGGCCCACTCAAAAGTCAGCGTTGGGCAGCGCTCTCGACCCATTGGCTGATAAGATTCTCATCAGTATTTTATATGTCAGTCTCACCTACGCTGAACTCATACCAGGTATTAATTTCACTGTGTAACACAACAGTCAGTTGAGGATCTGTTAAAGAGCTGCGTTTATTTGTTGTTTTCGCATTTTATTATATTTCATGTGACAGCTCTCTTTACAGTGAGCACACAGATTATTACAGCATGATGTATTTTGTTTTTCTGTTTCAGCTCTACTGACAGGTCTGGTGATTTCCAGAGACGTTGGTTTGATAGCTGCTGTCTTCTGGGTCAGATACAAGACTGTACCTCCACCGGTGAGACACGTTACACTTCGCTCTGAACACACACACTCTGACAGAGATTTTTATTTCATAGAATTTAAACACTGAGACTGTAAAGAACAGCATCTGTCAGAAGGCATAAGTAACATTAATGTACTCACGGTGAGGAAAAGGTTCTCACTGGTTAGTAAACTCTGATTATACTAAACATCTTACAAGACAAGATATTAGCCAGTGACGCTCAGTGTCTGCAGAGCACTGTACTAAGTTACTGCTAGTTTTACCTGAGCACTGCTGTTCAGCATAAATGTGTCTACAAAAAAGGAAGATGGTAATTTTTGGCGTTTGTTGACAGCAGATCAGTTTGAAATATTGCAGTGAGCAATAAAACACTGAGCAGCAGCCACAGTGAGAGTTTAGATAAAAGGCCCTTTTAAACTTCCTGTTCAAGGCAGGAATATCGTGCCGTTATGCCGCCTTGCCTTGCTGTACATGAGGTACAATTGCGAAATGTAATGACAAGAGTTGTCCCGCCTTTAAACTGCCACTGAAGGTAGTAACAGCACCGGTATGGTGTCTGTATAAACAGGACAACTGACAGGACAGGACCACGAGCATGATGGACGTGAGGTTTTGACGACGTGCTATGCGTGAGACCCACTGCGGAAGATTTAGAAAGTAGCTGTCACAGTTAGCGGCTAACTCATAGAAGAGGAACAGCACTGACAATGTCCGCATATCAGGATAACAATAAAGCCTGGTAGCTCCTTACCTCTGAACAGGGGTTGAAATCAGCTGCCATATAACACAGACAGTAAATGATTGTTATTGTTTATAAAATGCTGCCAGCACATACAGTACAGGCCAAAAGTTTGGACACACCTTCTCATTCAATGCGTTTTCTTTATTTTCATGACTATTTACATTGTAGATTCTCACTGAAGGCATCAAAACTATGAATGAACACATGTGGAGTTATGTACTTAACAAAAAAAGGTGAAATAACTGAAAACATGTTTTATATTCTAGTTTCTTCAAAATAGCCACCCTTTGCTCTGATTACTGCTTTGCACACTCTTGGCATTCTCTCCATGAGCTTCAAGAGGTAGTCACCTGAAATGGTTTCCACTTCACAGGTGTGCCTTATCAGGGTTAATTAGTGGAATTTCTTGCTTTATCAATGGGGTTGGGACCATCAGTTGTGTTGTGCAGAAGTCAGGTTAATACACAGCCGACAGCCCTATTGGACAACTGTTAAAATTCATATTATGGCAAGAACCAATCAGCTAACTAAAGAAAAACGAGTGGCCATCATTACTTTAAGAAATGAAGGTCAGTCAGTCTGGAAAATTGCAAAAACTTTAAATGTGTCCCCAAGTGGAGTCGCAAAAACCATCAAGCGCTACAATGAAACTGGCACACATGAGGACCGACCCAGGAAAGGAAGACCAAGAGTCACCTCTGCTTCTGAGGATAAGTTCATCCGAGTCACCAGCCTCAGAAATCGCAAGTTAACAGCAGCTCAGATCAGAGACCAGATGAATGCCACACAGAGTTCTAGCAGCAGACCCATCTCTAGAACAACTGTTAAGAGGAGACTGCGCTAATCAGGCCTTCATGGTCAAATAGCTGCTAGGAAACCACTGCTAAGGAGAGGCAACAAGCAGAAGAGATTTGTTTGGGCCAAGAAACACAAGGAATGGACATTAGACCAGTGGAAATTTGTGCTTTGGTCTGATGAGTCCAAATTTGAGATCTTTGGTTCCAACCGCCGTGTCTTTGTGAGATGCAGAAAAGGTGAACGGATGGATTCCACATGCCTGGTTCCCACTGTGAAGCATGGAGGAGGAGGTGTGATGGTGTGGGGGTGTTTTGCTGGTGACACTGTTGGGGATTTATTCAAAATTGAAGGCACACTGAACCAGCATGGCTACCACAGCATCCTGCAGCGACATGCCATCCCATCCGGTTTGCGTTTAGTTGGACTATCATTTATTTTTCAACAGGACAATGACCCCAAACACACCTCCAGGCTGTGTAAGGGCTATTTGACCAAGAAGGAGAGTGATGGAGTGCTGCGGCAGATGACCTGGCCTCCACAGTCACCGGACCTGAACCCAATCGAGATGGTTTGGGGTGAGCTGGACCGCAGAGTGAAGGCAAAGGGGCCAACAAGTGCTAAACACCTCTGGGAACTCCTTCAAGACTGTTGGAAAACCATTTCAGGTGACTACCTCTTGAAGCTCATGGAGAGAATGCCAAGAGTGTGCAAAGCAGTAATCAGAGCAAAGGGTGGCTATTTTGAAGAAACTAGAATATAAAACATGTTTTCAGTTATTTCACCTTTTTTTGTTAAGTACATAACTCCACATGTGTTCATTCATAGTTTTGATGCCTTCAGTGAGAATCTACAATGTAAATAGTCATGAAAATAAAGAAAACGCATTGAATGAGAAGGTGTGTCCAAACTTTTGGCCTGTACTGTATGTTTTGTGTCACAAACGAGGCCGACGCTGTCGTGTTATGTGTCACGTCACTTTTGATTCTTTGATGCCAGCATGCTGTCTGTAATCACACACTGGAGCAGAATTATGTTGCTGCTGTTCCTGTGTGAAGTCTCTGGGGCTGCTGTGAAACTGTGCCTGCTTGAGGCAACAAAAAGTTTGTCTTGCACTGAAATGTTTGCTGCACTTTGAGCACTTTATTTGTGCACAGATGTCTTAAATAAACAGACTCTTTTTGCAGCCTGTGGAGCTTTTAGTGGCTCTCTATCCCAGTTACATTGGTGTGCAGGTGTCTCTTCTGCCCTTCTTTCTTGGTTCTGTGTAAGAAATCCGAGGCAGCATAAAGACGGGACTTTGTAGCGGCTCTATTGAGCCATCTCTGTGTAAAAAACAGCCAAAGAGCTGCAGGTGACAGGCTGCACACCTCCACGTTAGGCATATAATCAACTCCTCTTCCCTCATTAACAATAGCTGTGTCTCAGTTCAGGGGCTGCAGCCTTCGAAGGCTGCATTTGTGACTGCTTGCGTCACATCGGTGCGACCAAGGCTCCTTAAAATGGGGTTGAGAAATGCAGCCTTCTCTCCCAGAATATGTGGGATGCAACGGATGGATCCTTCATGGCATAGCCTATCCACAGATGCATCTGCACCAGTGACGATTATATATTAAGTTAATTAAGTTAAATTAACTCAGTAGCTAACAGTTAACTGTTGTCATTGCTGTTAGCTAAAAGCACACTGCTTAAAAGATCTTAATTTCCTAAGTTTACCTGAAAGCGGTCCATCGGCCTGAAATATATCAAACAGCGGTGTCTGCAGCAGAAAATCACATCCTCAAGTATTACATTTAAAAATATATATATTTATAAATCATGGGTCCATGATTTAGGGCTAACTAGTTTACTTCTTCTTTCCTCAAGCGCAGCTGGTTGCTAAGTAACAGGAATGCCAGTAGATGGGGGCGAGAACAATTGGTGATGCAACCAGGAAGTCCTCCACAGACCAGATCGTCCGTTGGTCTGGCTGATGTGGTCTTCAAAGGAGGTGGCCGACGTAGACCATGATGGCCACGTCCTTCAAAAGCTGCAGCCACCAAATTGAGACACAGTGATTATCAGGTTCCCTGTTAGCATCAGGTTAAATTCACACTGTTGCCATATGGGTGCGTTTGCTTTGTGCTTTGACACCAAATCCACCGCCATCATCTTGTTGGTCATCTCTCCTTAAAGAGACACCAGACTCAGCTGCACAGAGCAGACGAGCTCAGGTTGAAATCGTAGCGTCTGTCGTCAGACTCAGCAGCCTATTCATTAAAAAAAAAAAAAAAAGCAACACACTGTCGTAGTGTGGGCGGCAGGCAAGTAATGTAATCTGTATATGCTCCACCACCGTGTGGCACCGACTGCTGTGGCAGGCCTAATGTACTCTGGATCATAATGGCCTCTGTAGCAGAGGAAGGAAATTAATGTACTTAAAAATCTCTTCCTCTTTTTCCTCCAGGTAACCCTCAGCAAGTTTTTTAACCCCTGCTACACCACAGCACAGCTCAAGCCCACACTCTTCAGCAAGGTGACACACACACACACACACACACACACACACACACACACACACACACACACACACAGCCACAACCACCCACTCTCACTGTGCTCTGGACTTTGAACATTTTGTTCATCTCTGTACTGAAGTGGAGACTTTGTAACAATGGAGCCTTAAAGAACACGTGTGATTATTTTATTATATTTTCTGGCAAAAACTGAACCCTGGCACAGTGTTTGACAGAATCTGGCCCAAACTCTACTGTGATTTTCAAGAAGAAAGGATGTTTATGAAGGTGGAAGATTTTCTTTGTAAATCAAATGTTAAAACCAAATCATATTTACAGTTTGATCACTCCCAAGTATCTGATTCAGTCACAAGAGAAACCAAACTAACACATTTTAAACTGTACTGGTAAAAAATAATCATCCTGTTGATGGAGAGTCTTCCCATTCATCCATCATTTTGGATCTGAGTCCATGGTTGGATTCTAAACTCTGTCACACGTATGCAAAAATGTGTTGTGCAAAAACTAACACATTAAAATTCACTGTCAAAATGTTCCTTTATGGCGCCGCCACAGATTCTGCATCATTTATTTTGATACCTTGAAGAAGTGGTGGCTGGCAGGAGAAGTTGTTTTTTTTTTTAAGCTGCCAAAAAGTGTTGTTTTGTTCTTGGAACCAGCCACAACTCTTGTCACAAGCGCAACAGGTTCTCACAGAAATAATGAGCCAGACTTCATTTGTCGGAGAAGCAGGTAGTGTGTGAATGTGGAAGGTTTTTGCGCCTCTTTAATGTCAGTGTTCTGACTCTGTGTGTGCGTCTCTTTGTTAGGTGAACACAGCCATCCAGCTCCTCCTGGTTGCATCCTCTCTGGCTGCTCCAGTCTTCCAGTACACAGATAGCATCCTGCTGCAGTGCTTATGGTAAACCACATACACTGTTTTACATATGCATACGCGCACACAGCTCTCACCCACTTGACTTCAACATCCATGATGTTCTGTACTTTTCAGTGTAGTGGTTACAACAAAAAACAGTTTATTGTGTGAAGGGTTTTTGAATGCAAATGGTTTCATCTCTGTCAAGCACATAAATACGGTTTGTTCCAGCAGAGTGTTTGGGTTAAGTGCGCTGACTCATTTCAATCTACAACTAGGAGGGATTTGGAGTAGAGATCCAACTCGGGACAAACAGTTTATTGTGTCACAGTAACCTACATTTTTATACGAATTCAGCAGTTAAACTAATACAACAACAACAGTTTTATTTTTGCTTTGTTGTACATTTATGTTCACACCACTGCAAAGACAATTTTAAGCCTACGCATACACCGTTGTGAGCATTTAGGCCCCACTCACACAGAAGGCATTTTGCGGGTTTCAAAATGCAAGACACACTCTGCCTTTTCTATTTTTATTGAATGCCATTAGTAAAAAAAAAAAAAAAAGGCTTGCTGAGCAATTTTATTGTTGACAGGCAACAAGAACCCCATCACCTCCTCACCCTAACCTTCCTGTGTAATCAATCTGCTGTTTGTTTATTTATTTAATTTCACAGTAATCAGTGTGTAGCTGCTGCCATGTTGAGGCAGAGGGTGCTGTCTGTAGCTCTGGTTGAGGGTGAGAGGCTGTCAGCAGATAAACAGAGATCTGTGTGGGTACATGAGACCCTAAAAAAGAGGCTGGATCATGGGGAGTACCACCAGTTGGTCCAGGAGCTTCTCCTCCATCATGGACCAGGTGTATTTTAGGATGTCTCAGGGGCATAAACTCATGGCGCAAAAACGCCAGACGCCTAGAGCGCAGAAATGTGGTGCATATAGCGACGCAAAAACAGCAAGCAAAAAGCTTCATTCTCATTAAACACTGTTAGAAATAGCCGCTTCCAGCTGCTAAAACGCTCTCTGTGTGATCGGGGACTTATACTAGTGCAGTGGTGTGTCTGTGTCGCTCTGCAGTTACACCTCCAAAACACTAGTTGGCCGTGGGGTTTCTGTGAAGTGCTGTAAAGTTTAGTTGATACAAAACACACATTAAACACACATTAAACATACTTAATAGAGACAGTTTCAAACACAAATCAGCTTCACTGTAACTCGCAGCATTCACAGACAAACACTTGTCTTTATCTGGACACATTTTCCCCACAAATACAACATGCTAACGTTATTAGCACAAGCCTATGGTATTTTACATTGTATAAATTAGCCTAGAGGCTAGTGGAAAATTTCCTCTTCCCATATGAAGCCAGGGACAACATCAACATTTAACAAAGGTAACGTTACAAAATTCAGCTCCATTACAGCTCACAAGGTTCACTGACAAAACAACTGTCTTATACTAAACACGATTTCTAAACAAATATAATATGCTAACATTATTAGCACAAGCATATGGCATTTTACATTGTATAAATTAGCCTTGCAGCTAGCAGAGTTTTTCTTTACTGATAGGAAGCAACAACAGAAACAAAAAAACAAACAAATAAAACCCCACAAAACTTAATTGCATGGTTTTAATTAAAGTTTCATAGTTTAATACATTGTTTTTAAATGTATCAATAATTTAATCAACTAAGACTAGCCACTGGATGACGATTACAAATTCCTAATTTAACACATTAAAACATTCCACAGTGGGAACATGATGCTGTCAGTATTGAAATAAACTAAATCAGTCAATCAACTTCAATTAAAGTGTTGTATGACTTGTTATATTGCAGGTATGTTACGGCGGTGACTACAGCAGCGTCAGGCTATAGCTACTGGCACTACGGCCGCAAGACTGTCCAGGTGCTAAACACCAGATCACCATGACGACCCCACCAGGAAACACCCAGAAAGCAGAGCTAAAAGCAGAGACACTGATCAGTTGTGGTTAAAGTCATACAGACAGATGGACGATTGCCAGGAGCTCTGAAACCAAGTAACTGTGACAGCCATTTATGAGTCGCCATGGCAATGACACATGGAAACCAACTGGGGCCGCAGATGGTTAACTGCAACACTACAGAAACACCTAACAGCAGCTCTGCTACTGGGCCGGCTGCTGAGTGGAGACCAATGCACACAGATAGAAACAGAAAACTCAAATATAGATCATCCTCGGACACGCGCTCATGTACACTCTAACATACATGTCAAGTATATGTTCAGTGATCCGGCAAGAGCTTCTATTTTTACTTAGTTTTTCAATCAAGAGGTTGCGACGTCAACATGATTGTCAGTTTTGTAAACCAATGATTTATGATTAAAAAAGAAAATCTGCTTTTGTTCATCTTCGTGTGTGTGTGTGTGTGTGTGTGTGTGTGTGTGTGTGTGTGTGTGTGTGTGAGTGACTGCGGGGTTCGTTTTTCTCAGGGAAAAAAAGATGTTTAATCTCATGAGACACAAATCTGAGAGTTTATCCATTTTAAAAGCAGCAATCAGAGGTTTAAAAAAATAGGTACAAAACAGCAATGATGTGCTGCCAGTGTTTCACAGGACCAGTCTGCCCTCTAAAATAAAATCTGAAGGCTAGGGCTTTAAATTATCATCATTCAGTAGAGTGGAAACAATTATGTTTAATTCATTCATCAATTAATAGGAAATTTACCAGAGTGTAATTTTGAGAATTGTTTACAAGCAAAAATGTCTAAAATTCTCTTGTTCCAGCTCCTTCAGCGTGAACATGTGCTGCTTCTCTCGGTCTCATAAAACTGTAAATATCAAAGATCTTTGGACCGTATGTGAAACATTTAAAGACCTCATTATTTTCTGACACTTTAGAGATTAAACAAGATAAATCAATTGTAAAAATGTTATTTGCAGCCATGTTATTGATCAGTCTGGGTTTTCTTTTTTTTCTTTTTTCATTGTCAGAAAGCTGTGACCAGTGCCCATCAGAAGTTTCCCAGTTAAATCATCCTGACAGCGAATGACAAGGCTTCGGGCCAAATCTGACACATTTGCATCAAAGTGATAACATTTGCTGCTTCTGATAAATGAAGTCAAAAGTCAGAGGGGACATCCTAAAATTTCTTATTTTGTTGCACAGCAGTCAAACTTCTAAAGATACTCAGTTTGAAATAATATGAAATAGACAAAGTCAATTTGAGCTAGCTGGCAAGCTACAACCAGGGACTGTGATATCTCAGGACCTATCAGTTATTAGTCTGATGTTAATAAGCCTCTGGGATAGCCGATATTTTTGAGGCATGCTTAGCTGCAGACACATTCTGTTTGTTGCGTACACAACACTCCTCTACAAACTGTATACTGCTAGTACAATCCCATACTTTTTACTTTTAGCAGGTAAAAAGTATGTACTGTTTGCATGCAGTCCCAGGTAGCCAAAATGACCTGGCCCAGCATCGGCCTAAACCCGACATGCCAGATAAAATTAGCTGGATCACATCAAGTTGCCTGACTTGGAATGAATGACATATTAGAAATAAAAGAAACATCAAAAATAAACTGGCCCGGCTTCGGCCCAAACTCAGCACGCCAGAAGAAATAAGTTGGGCTACATGCCTGACTTGGCCGAGACTGACTGAATGACGCCCCTGAATTGCGCCAAATAAGCTGGCCCCCAATTCCAGCTGATGACACTGCTATCACTCAGCCGTTATCAAAAATGACCCGGTCCAGCATCGGCCCAAATTCGGCACACTGGAAGAAATAAGTTGGGCCACATCCAGATGCCCAACTAGCATGACACTACTGAATTACACCCCAGGATTGGGCCAAATAAGCGGCCAGACTGCTGCTGCTGACACTGCTATCACTGGGTCGTTATCAAAATAACCTGACCCAGCATCGGCCCAAACTCGGCACACCAGAAGAAATAAGTCAGGCCACATCTGGTTCCCCGACTCAGCTGAGACTACGCATGAATGACGCCCCAGATCAGGCTTGATTCTGGCTGCTGTCACTGCCATCACTGCGGTATGCACATGATCGGGACATACTACTTTCCCATAACTTTACACCCTGAACTTTGCCCCTCCTGCTTTTATACCTGTTTCATTGGAGATAAAACAAATGCCACTTACCGAGTTCGCCAGAGACGGAGCTCAATTCGAAGAGACCTGCTGTTGTTACCTTGCAATTTGTGTGGTTTTAGTTTAAAGTTATAACTGCATAGATTCAAACATATATTTGTGACAGTGAAATAACATCTGCAGTTCTCTGTCGTTGTTTATAGTTATGTCCTTTTGTTGTTTGTAATATTTATGATTATTTTTTTGACTTTAACATTCAATATTCTTATTATTACTGTTCTACTGGTCATCAGTTACTTGAATATACTTTCATCCATCAGTGCAACTTCTGACAGCTGTCAGTCAGTTGTCAAGCTGTCATTTATTTGTGGCTCAGTTGATGTGACGTATCGTCTGCTGGGCATGCCAGTTTGCAGACTGCAAAATCGGACCGGATGTAGTAGAACATTCTGGTATTTTCGGCATAGTGCTTTTGACATACAAAATCTTTTCTGGCATATAATATAGCATGGTAGTAGACACTGTAGTGAGCAAATGTTCACTACTGTTGCAGTAATCCACTTTAGAACTTGTTTTAAAAAAATTTTTATGAAGACATGATTCACAGGAGATATAACCCTTGCCCTCTTTTAAGCTAATACTTCATAGCTAGCTAAATGCTAAGTTAGCACTTTCTCCAGAGCTTCTGCTTCTGGGTCAAGGAGTGAAGGGGGCCGATCATTGACTGATGTGTAGGTATTGTGAGCTAGTCATGTAGCTCCTGGGTGGGTCGTGTCGCTGCTCCAGCTGCAGCTGTACCTGTCCGAATATTTCTGGAGATCCAGTGTAGCCAGCTGGTATCTGGGCCAAGACTTCCTCTTCCGTGCGCAGGTCATTTTGTTTGATCTCTATAAACTAGACATCTGCAAACAAAAGCAGAAGACGATGTTTACGTTAAGTGTTTCTGCAATCCACCAATGTTATATATTCCCATTTCATATGAATCATATCAAGGTTTCCAAAGTAACGTAGTGCATGACCTGACTTAATGGAGGGGATGGTAGATGGTGTGTCATCTAGGCAAGACACCTGCCAAAGTGCAGACTAACAAACAACAAAACAGGTTGTGTGTCGCTGTTTTTCCTTGCAGCTTTTTAGCCACCAATGTGACTGGGTTCTTTAGCAACATGTCACTGTTTCTCAACCGTATAGTCCTAAGAAAAGCAGTTGTTTTCATCGTTGCATTTCCAGATGGGATTGTGTCCCAAAACTGCCTTTTTTTTTTTTTTTTTTTTTTTTTTTTTTTTTGTGGGCTTTTTTGCTTTTAATGACAGGACAGAGAGTGAAACGCTAGGTGCACAACCTAACGCATTGACAGATTGATGCTGACCGGAAGTCATTCATTCCAATGGAGGTGAAAATGACGGGTAGTAACAGACTAGCGTGCAGCACGGCAGCAGTTCCGTTGACCGTCAGACTGTGGAGGCGTGGGATTTTTCCTACTCGGGGGTTGACAAGATGGGAGAAACGGAGCGTAACGGTGCCAGAAGTAGGAAATAAATTGCAATCGCAGTTGTAAACAAACAATATCTGATTTATTTATGCAAAAGAAAAATAAGCATAAGCTTTTTTTTTCCACTATTAAAAGTGATTGTTGACCATAGGTTAATTTCTATGCGGTTGATAATTACTCTATATTTTCGAATTTCACGTTCATTTCTATATCAGCTCTTTCAATAGTCCACTACTCAACTCGTCTCAGTTCAGTTGGTACGGTGACAGTCAACATGAGAGATCTTCTCAGGAAGATATTGCTAGCTCTTCTGCTAGATGACTTTGCTCGCCGACAGCATGCTAGCTAGCCACCCGCATCTGGCCAGGTCCGTCAACGATGGAACCTTGCAGCGTTGTTCTGGGGGTGGGGAATGCATTGAGGAAACGCCCTGTTAAAACAGGAAAAATAGGTTGTGCACCTGACGAAATGGGGAGACAGAGAGAAAGTGGGGACTGACATGCAGCAAAGGGCTGTGAGCCGGATTCAAACCCACGGCTGCTGCAGCAAGGCAATGCCTCTGTACATGGGACGCTGGCACTATCCACTATGCTACCGACGCCCCAAAACTGGCTATTTTAAGCCAAAAGATGATTTTTGTGTGATTCATTTTTTGCCAATATGCTGATATATAGCAACTCATTTGACTGATAACCAATGACGACATCAATATATCCACTTTTTCCCAACCTGAATTTAGTGATCATCATCAAGTCTCCTCTGTAGTGGAATTAACATGTTAACGTTCTTATTAACATATTATACATACTCTCATCATGACGGCCCATCAGCAGATGGAGACATGAAATACAACACTTTTGAGTGTATGTAATATTTATTCATTGTGCAAAATAAGAAAAAGCATGTTGGCCAGTTCCGAGAGTTCATTTTAAAGCTAATACCGGTGACGTGCTGATATTATCGTGCATTCTTAATATTTTCTGAACCATTACCAAGTAGTATTTGGGCCTAAACTAACCACACGTTAAACACAAAGATGTTGAAATGCATCTGCTTCAAAGTATCCGCTACATCGTAACGTGCAAATGTATCTGTGGTTCACAGAAATGCACAATGCCAACATTTTTGCTGCCGATTGGGTCGACAAAAAGCTAATATAAAGCTTAATTGTTGTTAGACAATGGCTGATGGTTGTGAGATTGCTTTATGTCCAATGTGTTCTGCCTCTCCACACGAACTGCTTACCTGCACTAAAATAGGATTGGTCAGTAAGACTCAGACAACAAACAGAAACTAAAACACTTCTGATACCAAAATGTGTCCCGTTACATACAGATCCTGCATACATACACAAAAATCTGTTTTCTGGGATTAGTGTTTGACGTTAGTGTTTGATAAATGACTTTAAACAAGTAATTTCTGCCAGTTTTCTCTTCCTGTTACAGCACTGCCTCTCTTCCTCAGGTGCAGCACACAAATCTGAATCCTCTGCTTATTTCTCTGCTCACTGTTGTGATTATTAAAAGAACCACAAACGCCACAGCTCTCCTTTCAAGCTCCTCCAGTCTGGAGATCAATAAGCCCAATAAGCCAGAGGTTATTTGGAGACAGCAGCCACTACTGGAGCTTTTTGGCTGAACTCCTCTGGCGGTTCTATCTGACGCTGCTGCTTTTTCTCCCCCTCAAGAAAACTAGTGCGATGACGGAAAACGTGGCTGCGTAACCTTTTCAACTCCCCCACTTATTTACCGGCAATTTTCTGCACCGCTTGGGTAATGCTGTTTCATTACTGACCGTGTGC